GTAGTGTCGATGTTGGTATAGTTGTGTGCACACAACCCATGTCACGTGAATGAAATCCGGCTGAGCTGTCCAGCGCCGCTCTTGCACCTTTTGCAAATATAATCTAATGCCGTGTTCATTCGGGGAGCGGGTGTGGTCGCGTGGAATTCTGTATCCAGGTGCTCCGGTTCCCCCCACCCATCCACATCAATTTAGAATCAACATGCATTAAGATTATTTAAGATTATTTTTGCCGCTCTGAATTTTTCCGCACGGTAAGCCACCTTTGTTGAGCTCTCACCTGTCGACAGGTAGCTTCTGACAAGTTACTACATCGGTGGGGACCCTCTACCTGTGTAGCATGGGGGTGGCTTCGTGTTTTAATTTGTACGCGTGTGGGTCATTTGTCTAACTGTCTTGTACCACGCACTACGCGATCGTGTTTTTGTGTTATTTGTTGTTGAAGCGTTCTTACACCGTGCCCCTACCACGCATCAGTGAAAAAAAGAGCTTTACAGCTCATCGGAGTCCGCTTGCGGTATGAATAAATTGATGACGGTTATCGCACTGCGCTCGGCACGGCTAACGTCAGTGGCGAGCGAGTAACATGTTACACCTGGACAAGCCCCTGATTACCCCCCTGCGTCCCCTCTCTCTCTCTCGGTCACTTGAGACTTTAACATTTTCACACCTCCGTAATCACCGTCACCATTCGCTTTCGCGACGGGCTGGTGGCACTACGAACCCTGAGCCCGGTCTTGGTGAGCGGAGTCGATGGCCGGGGTGATGTCTTGAACCGGTCCAGGCCACCGTCCCCTGATCCAACATCTCAGTGAGGATATTTGCACGGTAGGATGGGGGATGAATCTTGATTGGAAGCTTTCGTGACTGCATGAATCCATACTCTTTGGTTCTTTCGGTAAAGTCACGTAAGGTAGACAATAAAATAATACAAAATTAAACAAATCACGACGTTCCGATCGCAACACAAAAAAAAATAGCTGAAGCATTTTTATTTTTTAATCTTTCGTGACTGAAGCATTTTTTTTTCCTGCCGTGGTTGTCCCACCTGATGAGGATTGTTTGTGTTGCGATCAAAACGTCGTGATTTGTTTTTTTTATTTTAGATAATTTTAATTCTACCTAAGTGACTTTACCGAAAGAACCGAAGAGTAAGGATGGGGATTGTTTAGTATTGTGTTTGTATGTGTTTGTGCGATTTGTATACTCTCTTGTTCTTTGCACTTACTATCGTGGACATTTGTGGGGGGGGGGGGGGGCGGCGGGGAAGAGCTTTATAGCTCATCGGATTCTTCCTGCAGTATAAATAAACATTCGGATCTACTGGCCAGAGCGGTGAAGCCGCAAATCCAGTGGTGGATTGACACGTTGCAAAATAAATCGAGCGAATCAACGGCAGCTAATTTGACCTCGCAGGGAGGGGTTCAACACGGGTCGATGTATCGCTCGCCCACTGTGCGTGAACATCAGCGTGGGTAGACAAAGGCGGCCTTGTCGACCTCCATAGGTGTTACTCGCTAACAGCACTTGGCCCCAACAGTCTGTTGAAGGCTGTACGGGGGATCGTTGTCTTTGTGTGTGTGTATGTTGTTTGACTGTGTGTGCGCGCATGTGTGTGGTAGTGCCACACACACACGCACACAGGGGTAGCGGTAGTGCAGCGGTTAGCGCTACAAACCCGGGGACGCGGGTTCGATTCCTGCTCACGGCCAACACCCAGTGATGATTATCTGAACCGGTCCTGGGCCTCCCCTAGGTCGACTCAGCCTCAATTGAGTACCTGGTCGGTGTGTAAACGTCGCCGCGAGGGAGACAAAGGCGGCCGAGCGTGGTGTTGCCCCCCGCCCCCCCTCCCCCCTCGTGTGACGTGACAGCCTTCATCGGTGCTGCTCGCTAAAAGCACTTGTCCCAGACAGTCTGCGAAGGCTATACGGGGCAGCTTTGTCATCCTATGCCTGTGCATTGTGCGTGTACACGCGCGTGTGTGTGCGCGTGTTGTAATTATCTGTTAGCATGAGGTGTTAAGTGGTTGCCGGGAAACTAATGATGCAGTAATGCACACTGCATGTTAAACCCTGCACATTGCAGCCTCGCTCGCCCGCTGTAGATATTTAAACATTCCCCAGGCCTCGAGTTGAATGCGTTTTTATTTATTCTGCGCACCAAACACAGAGGTCCCCCGTGTAGCCTCCACAGCCTGTTGGGGGCAAGTGCTGTTAGCGAGTTAGCACCTACTCGGGTGGCTGGGTGGGTGGCCAGCACCACGCGTTGCCGCCTTTGTCTCCCTCGTGGCGGTGACATCACCACAGCGCGTGTGCCAGGCTACGTGCACGTTAAGGCCACGTGCAGTGTCTCACACCCACTGGCAGGTCACAGGACAGACCCAGTTGCCATGGGTCGACTGAGATGACTGGCAGATGGCACCGCCTGTGCCGCCTACTGCGCCCACTCGCTGTGTTTTATCCACCCGGCGTTCCGCTCGTTGTTGTGAGCGTCGCTCCTCCCTGCCACCGTTGTTGCTGGAGGGCGCCTGGCTCCAACTGCCCAGTAGCGTCCTTCACGAGCCTCCTCCATGCACGCAAACACATAGACACGCGCACGCACACACGCACACACAAACACATAGACACGCACAAACACACACAAACACATAGACACGCACAAACACACACAAACACATAGACACGCGCACGCACACACGCACACACAAACACACACAAAAGACAAAGACAAAGATCCCCCATATAGCCTTAACAGACTGTAGGGGCAAGTGCTGTTAGCGAGCACCTATGAAGGCCGGAACGGTTCACGAGGGGGTGGGTGGCCAGCACCACGCCCGACCGCCTTTGTCTCCCTAGTGGCGATGTTTACACACCGCACCAGGTACTCATTTGAGGCTGAGTCGACCTAGGGGAGGTCCGGGACCGGTTCAGATAATCGTCACTGGTGTTGGCCGTGAGCGGGAATCGAACCCGGGTCGCCAGGTTCATAGCGCAGCGCGCTAACCGCTACACTATCGCTCCCCACAAACACACACACACACATAGACACGCGCACACAAACACACAAACACACAAGCACGTGTCCTTGCTCTCCACGTTCGATGGCAACAAGATGTCCAGGAAGCTCGATGGCTGAGTATGGAGGTCCTGGTGCTGCTTGAGCTGCTGTCGCCACGATGAGAGGGCTTCAGTGGAGAGACAGGTCATGTCGTTTTGCCATTCTTCCTCCTCTGATGAAGGATCGCAGACCACAGTTGGGTTTACTGTGCGGTCCTTAGTGTGAGTTGTGCATCTCTGTGGGCCTCTGTGTATCTCTAGTGTGAGTTGTGTATCTCTGTGGGCCTCTGTGTATCTCTGTGGGCCTCTGTGTATCTCTAGTGTGAGTTGTGTATCTCTGTGGGCCTCTGTGTATCTCTAGTGTGAGTTGTGTATCTCTGTGGGCCTCTGTGTATCTCTATGTGACTCTATGGGTTGACTGTGCGTTCCATAGCTTGGGTTGCATGGCCTCAGTGGCGCACTCCTGTCACTCGTGTATCTTGGGTGTGTCTCCGTGTTTCTCCATGGGTCTCTATGCATCTCTCTGTGTATCTGTATGTCTACGCATCTCTTTGAGTCTCTCTATTGTGCGTCTTCTATGGGTTTATTGTACAGTCCACAGTTGCCGTTGTGTGGCCACAGTCGTGCTGCTGTGGCTTGTGTCATTAATGTATCTCTATGGGTCTCGATGTATCTCTATGGGTCTCCGCGTTTCTTTATGGGGTTTTACTGTGTGGTCCATAGTTTGGTTTGCATGGCCACAAACGCACTCCTGTGGCCAGTGTCTTCAATTTGCCTTGAGCGGAATAAGTTAATTTTAACAAAGGTAAATAAATAACTACGGTTTTGTTATTTGCATTAATATCTCATACATACTTAGGCCCTTAGCTCCTGCAGCAGAATCAGCAGCCAGTCTCATGCAGGGTGGTCACCCATCCAAGCGCTATGCAGGCTTTTTTTTTCCTGTTTAACTTTCTGAGATCTGCTGATATCGGGTGGAGTCAGGGTGACTTTTTGCAATAGGTTTGAATATATAAGAATACAATGTATAGTTTGTATGTACGGTAAGGTCTCAGAGTACATGGGCTCAGAGTACGCGGACCCGCTCATACGCGACCGACCCCGATTCATCCTTATGCTTTGTGTGACTCGTACGTTCGCTACACGCACGGGGCGAGAAGCGAGGTGTCAAATCACCCCCCGCCGTCACGTGAATTATGGATTTGACGGCGTGTAACTATCACACGCGCAAGAAACGAGTCCAAAATCTCTTGTGTTCTCACCGACCTGGATGCTCCTGATGATTAGTGAATCATTTACTATACAGTACTGTACTTTTATTAATCATTCATGTACATTTATCTACATTTTATATACGCTCTAACATTTTATATACACACTCGAATAGGCGAACCCCAACTTACGCAAATTCACTTTCACGCGGGGGTACACGGAACCTAACTCCCGCCGCATACTCTGACACCTGACTGTATGTAATTGTACGCCTTAAAGATGCTGCAACATTGGCTGTTGCAGTGGTTAGCAGCGCCACCAGACTTGGCAATCCGGAGGTCGCCGGTAAGGCCCACTGACGTACGTAGCTCTTTTTCTGAAGCGACCTGGCTCTCACAAATGATAGCTCAACGAAGTGTCTCATCATCGTGTGGAAATGTACAGCAGCAGCGAAATACTCTGAACGCATGTTCATTCTAAATGTGGAGGGGGAAACTGGAAGATCTAGAGAAAAATCCACGTGACCACAGGGAGAGCAACATGCAAACGCCAAATATACAACAGGCGTCGGGGTCGGGATCGAACCCACGACCTCCTGCATACCAGGCGAGGGAGTTAACATCTCTCCACTGCGCCACCCACACCATGTGTCGCACGTATGCAATTACGTGTGCTAACCATTTGCTTGTCTGTGTGCACACATGCACACACATGCGTGTGCTGATGCAGATTTCACAACCACCGTGGCTTCTTGCACTTGGAGTCCCGTACCGGTGCCACCCCTCCTCCACGTCCTCGTCATCTGCGCCGTTGTCCCCGCTAGCCCCCGCTAGCCCCGCCGCCCTCTACGGCGGAGGGCGGTAGCGGGCGGGATGTCGCGCCCCGCGATGCGTGTGGCGCTCTGCGTCTTCGCCGGAGTCGCCATCATCGCCTCCTCCGCTGCCGCCACCGCCACCGCCTCCTTCCCCGATGACGCGACGCCCATCAACATCGTTGATGCCAAATGTGAGTGTATTCGCAACGTGTAGAGATGTGGCGGCTGAAGCCTTGCATAGGCCGAGAGACACAGCGAAGCCTTGCGTAGCCCGAGATACACAGCAAAGCCTTGCATTGGCCGAGAAACACGACAAAGCCTTACGTAGGCCGAGAGAAATGACGAAGCCTTGCGTCGGCCGAGTGACACGATGAAGCCCTACTTAGGCTGATAGATGCAATGAAGCCTTACATAGGCCGAGAGACATGCATTACTGCAGTCACGAAAGCTTTAAATCAAAATTTAACTGCCTCTACGGGGAGGGCTTTCACATAACTTTAAGATCCTTCAACAAACTCCGGGATAAGAAGGCTCAGCTGATCGAGTCTCTCACCTTTCTGAAGAGATGCCGCGACTCTGGGGTAATACCAATCGCATTTACACTGACCTCTGCTGCTGTAACTTCTTCTAATGTGAAACGAATTATTTTCAAAACTAGCTTAGCTCTTATCTCAGAAAAAATCAGACTTATATGCACCGAACTAGATCAGTTAGACAAGACACTCTACAAATCACACTTATCATTGACAGCAACAATGTCCACATCGGATTGGGAACATGTAGACAATATGACTGCCTCTTCAGCTGCTACTATGTCGACCAAATGTAAGGACAACCTGATTTCCAAATTTAACCTCCTCTTCAACAAAAGACCGGACCCACACACCAAAAAGTTAGACGTTAACAAAGTCGTAATTAATCGCAGTAACAGTTCTATTTCCGATGGTCTGAAATCCGTTTTAGCTAAAGGTCTAAACTTTGCAGTCACACCTAAACACATACCAGTTAATGATATAATTGCCCAAGTAGACGTTGCTTTCAGGGGCCTGGGTCACATCGCTGCAGACGTAGCAAGATCTGAAATCGTTGCAACCCTCAAAAACGCTAAGATGCCAGCTAGCAACCTCAGCAAAGATGAGCGTTTTGAATTATATAAATTTAAAAAGAGGGATGATATTGTAGTCCTCTCAGCTGACAAGCGCAATGCTACTGTCATCATGGATAAAATAGAATACAACAACAAAATTAAAGAATTACTCGACGATGGTAGTTATACAAAAATAAAAAGAGATCCCACCAACAGCCTCGTCACACAAACCAACAAAATAATTTCTGATTCAACCGCATTAATTGATCAATCTAAACAGTTTTCGTTGAAACCTTCTGCTGCCAGGCCACCAAGATTATACGGCTTACCAAAAATACATAAAGTAGATACACCCCTTCGTCCCATCGTCTCTACTATCAACTCCCCCACCTACAAACTGGCTCGTTTTTTGTCTGAAATCCTGCGTCCTTTCACTGGAAAAACCACCTCTGCGGTACAAAATTCTACTCACCTGGTATCGACAATCAAGGGTATTTCCCTGTCCCCAGACGACCTGCTTGTCAGTTTTGATGTAGTTTCCTTATTCACCAAGGTTCCTGTACCAGACACCATCGCAATCTTTGCAGACTTGGTTCATCAAGGACTAAACACTGAGGTACCCCCCCTGGTGAGACACTGGTTAACCAATACATACTTCACTTGGAATGGAACTTTCTACAAACAAACTGAGGGCACCCCAATGGGCTCCCCCTTATCTCCGGTTATAGCTAACATTTTCATGGAGAAATTTGAGACAGACGCCATCCAGACTGCCACTCTGCGCCCAACCTTATGGAAGAGGTACGTGGATGACACTTTTGTCATCTGGCCACATGGCCGGCCTGCTCTAGACCAATTCTTCGACCACATCAATTCCATACACCCAGCCATCAGATTTACCATGGAAGTCGAAAAAGATGGCAAGCTACCTTTTTTGGATGTCCTAATTAAAAAGAGACCTGATGGTTCAATGATCCACTCTGTCTACAGGAAAGCTACCCATACGGATGCTTATCTGAAACCAGATTCCCACCACCATCCATCACAGAAGAATTCTCTCATCAAGACTCTGTATCATAGAGCCCAATGCATATCCGACCAGGAACACATAGGCAGTGAACTCAAACACGTACACTAAGCTCTTAAGGCTAATGGTTACTCCGACTATACAATCCGCAAAGCTATCACTCAAACCATGAAGAAGGACCCTCTTGAGGAGCCTTTCAAAACCATCACTTTACCCTACATTGCGGGGATCACAAAAAAGATCTCCAAAATCTTGAATAAACACAAGATCCAGGTCCGTTTCAACACATTACACAAAATCCGTGATCTGGTTCCATCTGTAAAAGATGTGATTCCGGACATACAATACCCTGGTGTCTACAAACTAAGTTGCCTCTGTGGTAGTAGTTACATTGGAGAAACCAAACGCCATGTCTCGGACTGCATTTGTGAACACAAAGCAGACCTTAAACACGGTAGGACCAACACCTCGGCCGTGGCAGATCATTGTTATAATTCAGTAGGCTCACATGACATTGACTTTTCCAAGACAGAGGTTCTTTGTAAGCCATCTGGCTACCATGAGAGATTCGTTCATGAGGCTATCCACATATACAAGCACAGAGACAATTTCAACCGAGAAGATGGATTCTGGCTTAGCAATCATTGGAAAGATTTGATAAACCATTTCAGGTCTTAATTGATTGTTCACGCTTACAGTGGCTTTCAGACAGCATACATTAAAAAAATTTCGTCTCCCCCCTCCTCTTTTCAGAACATAGATGGACTCGTCCTTCTAAATAAAGTGCCAAATCGCTGCACGTGGCGCTGACGTTTTTTATAAATAAATACACCGTTTAAAAATAAATACATTTGTGCAAACCGACACACCTGATGACGACCGTTTGTGTTATGGTCGAAACGTCGTGAGAATTTTTATTGTTTTATATATTTTATTATTTTATTGTTTCCCTTCAACGTGACTTTACCGAAAGAACTAAGATTATAGGCCAAGAGAGACAACAAAGCCGTACATAGGCCAAGAGACACGACAAAGCCTTACGTAGGCTAAGAGACACGGTGAAGGCTTATGTAGGCCGAGAGAAACGACGAAGCCTTGTGTAGGCTGACTAGCGGACAGGTCCATAGCGAGTAGAGTTACGGTTTTTAACCTTGTGCTCAAGATTCACCGTCGATGTCGTTTTGGTTGGGCCATGTAATGATTCGTACAAATTTGTGTCGTGAGACCCTCCACCACCTCACACGGCCAAACAAATAAAATTGTCTACATGTACAAGAGTTTAACGGCGACATGCAAGGTATTATTGTTTCAGCCAAGTCACCGGTGAGTTGAAGATGGTAACAACCAAAATTGTGCATATGTTAAATTACCTCCCCAAAAAAAACTATGGATGATAAAAGGTCCTTGAATGAGAGTCACTTGCATAAGTTCTGTGATATCTCCTTCCGCGGACCATTCCCTGCCGATAACATCTGGCAGTTCACCAGCATTGATTCAAGTGAGCCTGACTCTGCTGATGAGACACTCTGCATCAAAACCGGTCCTGAGTTTTCCTTGCTGATACTGAATCATTGCTGCTATAATGACACACTCCCGGAAGGCCATGAGTTGTGTGAAAATTACTTTTACTTTCTCCTTGGAGAGACAGATACATGGAGATGATGTATCATCTGTTTTGCTACTTGTTCTGCAACGACCCACAGTTAATTATTCTGTGTTCTCTAGCAATGAATGCATGCCATGGGTCGATGTTGTGTGAGAATTCCAAATGGATCCTTCATCTAATGGCGTGATGCCGATAGCACAAATTGTAATGAGAAACCTCGGGCAAAACACCAAAGTATTATTTGCTAATTTTGCATATTTTACAATGGCAAACATCTGGAACATAAACGCACAGCATCAATCTGGCAGTTTTGAATACCCCCGTGCATTATTTGCTTTCATCTTGGGCAAATAACCGTCGGCTAAAATCTTCACGAATTGTTTATCCAGCCGCGCCCTGCTCTTGGCTTTCCCCGTACGTGGGGCAATCGCGATGCCATTTATTCAGAATCTCACGCTTGGCCAAGCGTATTTTGGACGACAAGGCATCACACGGCTCTTGGGTTCCGCAGCCCGTATGAAGTGACTGAGATAAACCCCCTATCTCCGATTAGCGCGGTTGCCTGCGTACGGTGTGAAAGAAACACAGCACGTTATCGCAGGGCGGAGGTGGGTGGGGGCGGGAGGTGGGGGGCGAAAAATGCAGACGGCCGATCTTGCGTTGGGTTCCATTCCCTCGTGAATGCCGGGCAGCGTGCATCATGGTACGGCCCGGGCAGCGGTTAGCGCCGGGGGTCTGCAACCAAAATAACAAGAAGAGCCGTTTTTTTTTTCCGATTCGGTAAAACAACTTCAATATTTCAAAAGCCTCAAAGCAAGTGGTGAATATGAGATGGCGGTCCTTGATAAACGGTGGTCAAGAAACGGTCCTTGATGAGCCCCGCGTGCGGCTTCGGAGCCACAGGCTGCCAATCCTTGAGTTACGAATCACGAACTGTGAAGCCGGTGCACTGAGACAATTCTATTCCCTTTGCCCCTTTCCCCAATTGCTACCGACCAGCGTGGTGAAATATGGTCATACAACACCCCCCCCCCCCATGACCTGTGGGGGAGACCCCTAATCCAGCAGCGGATTGACATGGTTGAAAAGTAAAATCGAGCCATCACCAGCAGTAATCGACCTAGGGAAGGGTCAACACTCTTGTGAGCACCGGGTGCTGTTATGTGAACATCAGCGTGGAGCGACAAAGGCGGTGGGTTGTCGGTGCTGGCCACCCACCTACCCATTGTGCGTCACGGTGGCGAGATGTTAACTCCCTCGCCTGGTATGCAGGAGGTCTTGGGTTCCATCTCGACCCTGATGCCTGCTGTATATTTTGAGTCTGCGTGTCTCTCTCTCTCATCATCACCACGGTGGCTAGGAGATGTTAACTCTCTCGCCTGGTATGCAGGAGGTCTTGGGTTCCATCTCGACCCTGACGCCTGCTGTTTATTTGGAGTCTGCGTGTCTCTCTCTCTCTATCTCCCCGTGGTCGCTTGCATTTTTTCTCCGGGTCCCCCGGTTCTTTCCCTCCCCATTTAGAATCAACATCACGTGTTTGGAGTATTTGGCTGCTATACATTTCCACACGATGATAAGCCACTTCGTTGAGCTGTCATTTAAGATGGACAGGTCGCTACTGAAAAATAACTACATAGCTCAGTGGGGCCTTACCTGGTAACATAAAAAATGGTTTCGTTTTCAGTTTTAGTGTACCGTGTCGGCACAAAGCCCCTTTTCTGCCAGTTCACAGCAGCCGTTGTGCTCAGTCAACACGCAGGGTGAGCTCTCACAGTCCCCGCGAGCATCACCACATGCGGCTGGCTTTACCTGGTGGGCCCCCCTTTTTTTACGCAGATAACGCATCAATCCTCTGCTGGAAGAAGATAAAGATCTCCCTTACACAAGTCGTGTCTGTCATCGGGTGTTGCATTTTCAAACTCCGCCACACCGATCAGCACCTTTTATATGTTCATAATAAAGGTTTGTGGGTTAGATCGCGTTATTTAATAATGTGTCGTAACCCTCCACCACCCGACATGGCCAATCAGCAAAATAAAGTGTCACGTTGACAAAAGACAATTAGTTCACTACTTTAGCCCACTGGTGTGTTGAAGAGTGAATCCACAACATTTACAGTTTGAATACGTGACACTTTATTTTGCTGATTGGCTGTGTCGGGTGGTGGAGGGTTACGACACATTCATAAATAACGCGATCTAACCCAAAAACCTTTATTATGAACAATATTGGTTGCGAAAGCCTACGTGTTAAACTGACCTTTTAGATGTCTCCCCCTATTATGTGGTCAAAATGTCCTTTTGAGGACCTCTCTCACAGCATCATCATTATCACAAGCATCTGGCTATAGCTCTTCCCCTTGATAGTCTATCACTGGGTGACACTCCCATGCCCGGCTCGGTTACCTGGCCTCCTCCTCCACCATGCACACCACGTGTCCCACTCATCATCACCAACCTCTTCGTCGTGTTTTAGAACGGCCCACAGAAGTGGATATCACAGAGCTACCTCTGAGATCCCTGTATCTTCAAGTGACGCTCTGGTCCACACAGAACGGCCTACGGAAGTTGATTACACAGAACTACCTCTGAGATCTTCTTAATGTGACGCTCTGGTCCACACAGTAGCGGGCAGCACTTTTTCACACACTCCACCCTGCCCCAGAGAGTGACGTTCATCGCATGACAGTCACTAAATACTGTTTTTTTATTCTCAGGATATGGAATTCAGCCAAATTAAGCGCAGGACCATATTTAACATGACAGGTGGTGGTGTTTAGTTGTTGATGTTGTATGTGCAGTCATTAACCTCTCGCTGTACGTGAGAACCCTAGCTGAAGTGCAGGCCGTGGCTGAAACCTTGGCATCGAACCCGGGGTCTCAAAGGTGCCGGGCTCATCGCTCTGACCTCTGTCCTCTGAGCCAGTGGGCCTCCATCCCAGAGGCTTTCTTGTCTGTTCGCCAGGTTAAAGTTCAGCTCTCTGACTCACAGGGGTGGCTATCTCTTATCGCTGAAAGGTCCCATTTGACGCCAAGACTTTGTTTTTATCACGTTACATTTTATCTCCATGGCCGGCGCTTTTGCGACTCTGGCGCTCTCCCCGCTCAATTTAGCCCGCGGTGGCTGGGACATCATCCACGTTCTGTACGTCTGTGTATGTTGAACTTTTTCACCGTGTTAATCGGAGGTGCGTGGGAAGGACAAGAAACTAAACACAAAAAAGCAATTATAAAGAAATGAATTTGTCAATTTAGACGATGATCATTTAAAAGTGCATAGCTCCCGATGGCTTCATAATATCGGAAGGAAGAGCATTCCAGATGGCCGGAGAAGCGCATCTGAACGTCCGAGATGCGGTAACCGTCTCTGTTCAATGGCTAGGTTAAAAGCCACTGCTGCTGCGAGGATGAGCGGAGTTTGCGTGATGATGGTTCATGTTCCTTGACGAGATCAGCGAGGTATTGTGGTTCACTTGTGAGATCTTCCGTGAAAAAAAGAAGAATGCACATTCTTCTTTTGGAGGGGAACCAGGCTCTCCTTGATTTTTGATTTAAAGCTTTCGTGACTGCAGGGATTCATATTCTTGGTTCTTTCGGTAAAGTCACCACGTAGAAGGGAAACAATAAAATAATAAAAATATAAAACAATAAAATTCTCACGACGTTTCGATTATTGCTTGTGTTGCAGTCGAAACGTCGTGAGAATTTTATTGTTTTATGTTTTTATTATTTTATTGTTTCCCTTCTACGTGGTGACTTTACCGAAAGAACCAAGAATACAGGCCCTCCTTGTAAAAGCACCAGCTGCAATACATCAATAATGCTTCGTAATAATCTCCTACACTAACAAGCAATCGAGGAATGAGATCACATGTTGCCATTTGGTAAATCAGTAATCCACCACATCAACCCTGAATGCGTCCAATGTTGGTCAGATCTCGGAAAGCTGAGTGGGGGCTCGGCGGATAGCGTTGGCTGCGGGGAATCCCTCATCCAGCAGTGGATTGACTACAGGGCTTTACCTGTGGATTGACTACAGGGCTTTACCTGTGGATTGACTACAGGGCTTTACCTGTGGATTGACTACAGGGCTTTACCTGTGCACGCGACTGGGGTGGGCTATGTGTGCATGTTTGTAGTGGCGGGAGCAGCAGCGGCCGCAGGGATCAGCGCCCTGCGCCGCGAGTTTAAATTCCCCCGCTCGCGGCCAATAACGGCGGCAAGTATCGAGGATGACCGGTTCCTGGGCCTCCCCTAGGTCGACTCAGCCTCAAATTCGTTACTGGTGCGATGCGTATAATGATCGCCGCCGGGGTGACAAAGGCGGCCGGGCGCGGGATGCTTGGCCCACCAACCCCCTCGTGTGCCTTGCCAGCCTACTGACTCGCAGCACTTGCCAGCCTACTGACTCGCAGCACTTGCCAGCCTACTGACTCGCAGCACTTGCCAGCCTACTGACTCCCAGCACTTGCCAGCCTACTGACTCGCAGCACTTGCCAGCCTACTGACTCGCAGCACTTGCCAGCCTACGGACTCGCAACACTTGCCAGCCTACTGACTCCCAGCACTTGCCAGCCTACTGACTCGCAGCACTTGCCCCAACGGTGGGTAAGGGCTACGCTGGGGACCTTTGTCTCGTCGTGTGCGCGTGTGCGCAAGCCCCCCCCCCCCCGTCCGTCGCTGTGTCTCCACGCACCGCCCGCTGCGCACAGATGTCGAGCTCCCGGGGTCTCATTTCGATTAGCAGAGCTCAGACTCGTCGCTGGGTCGACTCGGCCTCTAGACGTGTACATCTACCTGGTGCGGTGTGCGTAACGTCAACAGTGGGGAGACAAAGGCGGCCGGGCGTGGTGGGTTGTGACCACTGCCCCCCCCCCCAACCCCCCCACACACACCGAGACTACCACGCCGGCTTTCCCAGGTGCTGCTACTCGCTAACAGCTCTTGGCCCAAGGGTCTGCTGGAGGCAATGCGGGGCGGGGTGAGAGATCTCTGCGTGCCGTGTAACGGGAGCTACATTAGTGGCGTTCGCATTGATCGCTCACCTCTCCGCCGCGTTTCATATTTCTGAATTAGGCTTCGTTACTTCGTTATCCCTCCTTCCCCCCGTCCGTGGACGGCGCACGAGTGAGGGCACTGCGAGTTAGTGGCAGGATGGGGGGTAAGCGACTAGGAGGTTGGGAATAGGAGGAGGAGGTAAAGTGATGGGTGGGACACGTGGTGTGCAGGGTGGAGTAGGAGGATGGGGGTAAGCGACTTGGAGGTTGGGAATAGGAGGAGGAGGTAAAGTGATGGGTGGGACACGTGGTGTGCAGGGTGGAGTAGGAGGATGGAGGGTAAGCTACTTGGAGGTTGGGAATAGGAGGAGGTAAAGTGATGGGTGAGACACGTGGTGTGCAGGGTGGAGTAGGAGGATGGGGGTAAGCGACTTGGAGGTTGGGAATAGGAGGAGGTAAAGTGATGGGTGGGACACATGATCTGGAGGGAGGAGGAGGAGGCCAAGTCACCGATAAAGGCGTGGGAGTGGCACCCAGATGTTGTCGACCAAGGGGAAGAGCTAATAGACGTGGTTGTTGACGACAATGATGATGATGACTGTAAGAGCAGTCCTTGAAGGAAGTGTTGGCTGTGTAACAAGGGGAACACGTAAAGCCGGATAGCGGTAGTGGTGGCGATTCCGTGAGACCGGACCTTGGAGGTCAGTGGTGAACTTGAACTCTGCAGAACTTCAGAGGCTATCAGGACGAAGGAAGCGATTGTGATGATGATGATGACATCCTGACCTTTGCTTGTGTCTCCCTCGTGTCTACCCAATGTCTCCCCCGCGTCTCCCCCGTGTCTCCCCCGTGTCTACCCCGTGTCTCCCCCGTGTCTCCCCCGCGTCTCCCCGTCGGCCTGCAGACACGAGCCAGTACCCCGTGCTCCTGGGCCCCAGGCCAAAGAACGAGACGCGGCGACACAAGCTCAGCTTCCAGATGATGGTGATGACCAACTCCACCCTCTTCATCGCCGCCAGGTGAGTCACCGCGATCACCGCCACTCCCCCGCCCCCTGCAACGCACTTCGCGTTTCCTCCCAACAAGGTTGCCACCGCCGTGTCTTTTGACGACGGTTTCAGCAGCTGTGGCAGCTGTCTCCCCTCCACCGGCGAGAGGGACAATCCTGAGGACGAAACCGGGACAGGTGGCAAGCATACTCCCCAGGCCCTGCCTCTCCCCCCCCCCCACCCCCACCGAGCCTGATGGCCAACCCGAGAGGGTGCACCTTGGCTGGGCAGGAATCTAGGCGAGGTTGGACTGGGGGGGGTGGTGCAGCGTTGTTGGCCAATAAGAAAGCAATTCTGCATAAACGTTGTATTCTAATACAGAGGGCTTCTCGCGCCTCGCCCTTCGTGCCCACTAATTTCCTCTTCTCCCCCCCCCCCATCCCCCAATGTGTGCAGACACTACTGGCTCGTACCACAAAGTTCAATAGATATTTTTTTTCCATTTCGCCCTCCAACCATTGCCGCAGCTCGCACAACTCTAAATAAATGCTCAAAAAATGGAAAATTACGCTTTTCTTGATAATGGATGAAACAATCATTGATGAAGCAATAATTGTATTGATCATAGTGGTTTCAGAAGGGCTCTTATAGTTTAGTTGACGGGCAAACTGACAAACGGAATGCCGGGATTTTATAATAGATATGGCGGTGCTTGTGTAGGCCTCCATCCAACAGTGGATTGAACATGACGGCTGACGACGGTGAGATGGTGGATGCACGTGGTGGGTTCTGCGTTGGTCTTTCAGGGACTGGCTCCTGCCATAGGACTGTTCACCAAATACCAGGGCTGGACGGGTGGGAAGTGCTGCCCACTGATGCGTGAACCAGAGGCCTCAGCAGTAGCTTTGTGATAACTGCTTCCGCGGGCTGTTCCGCGTGTGAACCAGAGCGTCACTTGCGGTAGAAGAGATCTCGGAGGGTAGCTCTGTGATATCCACTTCCTCGGGCCGTTCTGCGTTTGAACCAGAGCGCCACTTGCAGTAGAAGGAATCTCAGAGGATGGTTGTGCTGCCGTTGCTGCTCATATCTGGTGGCTAGGAGATGTTAATTACATTCGCCTGGTATACAGGAGTTAATGGGTTCGATCTCGACCCTGATGATGCCTGTATATTTGGAGTTCGCATGTTCTCTCTCTCTCTCTCCCGCCCGTGGTCGCGTGGATTTTTCTTCGGATCCTCCGGTTTTCCCTCCTCCACATTTAGAATCAGCGTCACGCGTTTAGTATATTTGGCTGCTATAAATTTGCACATGATAAGCCACTTCGTTGAGCTATCATTTGTGACCAGGTCGCTCAGTGAGCCTTACCTGGTAAAACAAAAAAATCTAGTTGTTGGTACTCCGGTCGTGCCGCTGCGGGTCGTTTCCACACAATGTCCGACGTTTCGGCGCCGCGTGCCTCTGAGGAACGGGACGTAAGCGGAGCTGTGATGATGTTTATTTCGCTGGGGTAGCACGATGCCAAATCGTAAGTCTGAAAGTGAAACTCTGGCCCATGAGAAATGAAAATATAGTTTGCCCGCATAGATATTGCTCGTCGTAAATCTCCGTATGCAAATCGGGGGGGGGGGGGGGGGGAAATGTAAAAGTCTTCCCTGTAAACAACGGGAGAGTGAATCGAAATAGTTCCCCATTTCATAAACAACCCGTATTATTCAAATTGGCTGGTTTAGTGAGGGCCCTGTTAACCCACGCACGCACACAGCCCGTGCAGCAAGGATGTAGCCGGCGCACATGCCGTTAGCGAGTAGCAGCACCTATGAAGAAGGCTGACACGGCACACGAGGGGGTGGGTGGCCAGCACCACGCCCGGCCGCCTTTATCTCCCCAGTGGCGATGTTTTTTTTTATCCAGAAACTAATTTGAGGCTAAGTCGACCTAGGGGAGGCCCAGGACCGGTTCAGATAATCGTCAATGGTCTTGTCCGTGAATGGGAATCAAATTCGGCTCGCCATGGTTCGTTGCGCAGTGGGATAACAGCTGCACTATCACTCCCCACACACACACACAGGTGCACACACGCGTACACGCGTACACACATGCACACGCGCGCGTACACACACACACGCGCGTACACACACACACGCGCGTACACACACACACGCGCGTACACACACACACACGCGCGTACACACACACACGCGCGTGTAAACACACATACACACGCGCGCGTACACACACACACGCGCGCGCGTACACACACACACGCGTACACACACACACGCGTACACACACACACGCGCGCGCGTACACACACACACACGCGTACACACACACGCGCGCGTACACACACACACACGCGCGCGCGCGTACACACACACACGTGCACACACACGCGTACACGCGTAAACACACATACACACGCGCGCGTACACACACACACGCGCGCGTACACACACACACACGCGCGCGTAAACACACACACACGCGCGTACACACACACACACGCGCGTGTTCGTCAAATGAAATCTGCCCACTTTTGCAGGTCTATTACTACACACACGCAAATCCGCGCAGGTGAAGCGATTGCAGATCTGAGCCGTGAAGCGGTGGAACGTACACATTCTAGATCCCAATCGAGTGTTTTGGTGCACCGTGTGATCAGCAGGGATGGTGTGAGCCCGCCCGCGTGTGTCTGTGTGTTATTGTAGTGTGTCTGTGTGTTATTGTAGTGTGTCTGTGTGTGTTATTGTAGTGTGTCTGTGTGCTTCTGTATGTGTGTGTGTTATTGTAGAGTGTATGTGTGCGTGTCTCTCTGTCTGTGTTAATGTAGTGTGTCTGTGTGTTATTGTAGTGTGTCTGTGTGTTATTGTAGTGTGTCTGTGTTTTATTGTAGTGTGTGTGTGTGTTATTGTAGTGTGTCTGTGTGCTTCTGTATGTGTGTGTTATTGTAGAGTGTATGTGTGCGTGTCTCTCTGTCTGTGTTAATGTAGTGTGTCTGTGTATTATTGTAGTGTGTCTGTGTGTTATTGTAGTGTGTCTGTGTGTTATTGTAGTGTGTGTGCTTCTGTATGTGTGTGTGTTATTGTAGAGTGTATGTGTGCGTGTCTCTCTGTCTGTGTTAATGTAGTGTGTCTGTGTGTTATTGTAGTGTGTCTGTGTGTTATTGTAGTGTGTCTGTGTGTTATTGTAGTGTGTGTCTGTGTGTTATTGTAGTGTGTGTCTGTGTGTTATTGTAGTGTGTCTGTGTGTTATTGTAGTGTGTCTGTGTGTTATTGTAGTGTGTGTCTGTGTGTTATTGTAGTGTCTCTGTGTGTTATTGTAGTGTGTGTCTGTGTGTTATTGTAGTGTGTCTGTGCGTGCTTTGCTACGAACCCGGCTATCCGGGTTCGATTCGCGCTCACAATCAACGCCAGTGACGATTATCTGAACCTGTCCTGGGCCTCCACTAGGTCGACTCAGCCTAAAATGAGTACCTGGTGCCGTGTGTAAACATCGCCACTGGGGAGACAAAGGCGGCCGGGCGTGGTGTTGACCACCCACCCCCTCGTGCGCCGTGTTGGCCTTCATAGATTGCTACTCGCTAACAGCACTTGCCCCAACAGTCTGTTAAAGTTGTACTGGGGATTTTTGTCCTTGTTTTGTATTTGAACATTCCAGATCCCAAGCGAGGTGATGCAGCGATGGTGGACCCTCGTGTGTGTGTGTGTGTCTGCATGTCTGTGTGTGCGCGTGTGTCTGTGTGTGTGTGGGGAGCGGTAGTGTAGCGGTTAGCGCTACGCTGCGCTATGAACCTGGCGACCCGGGTTCGATTCCCGCTCACGGCCAACACCAGTGACGATTATCTTAACCGGTCCCGGGCCTCCCCTAGGTCGACTCAGCCTGAAATGAGCACCTGGTGCGGTGTGTAAACATCGCCACTAGGGAGACAAAGGCGGTCGGGCGTGGTGCTGGCCACGCACCCCCTCGTGTACCGTTACCGGCCTTCATAGGTGCTCGCTAACAGCACTTGCCCCTACAGTATGTTAAGGCTATATGGGGGATCTTTGTATTTTTGTGTGCGCGCGTGTGTGTGTCTGTGTGCGCGCGTGTCTGTCTCTGCTTGTCTGTGTGCGCACGCGTGTGTGTGTGTCTGTGTACGCGTGTGTGTGTGTGTCTGTGTGCGCGCGTGCGCGTTTGCGTGCGCGTGTCTGTGTGCGCGTGTGTATTTGTGCGCGTGTGTGTGCACGGTTAGTGCGCTAGTTACGAATCCTGCGTTACCGATTTCGATTCCCGCTCACGGCCAACACCAGTGACGATTATCTACACCGGTCCTGGGCTTCCCCCAGGTAGACTCAGCCAGATTATCCAGTGTATCTCTGTATGTATCTCTATGTATACATCTCTATGTATCTCTGTATCGCTGTGGTACTGTATGTGTATCTCTGTGTATGTATCTGTGTATACATCTCTGTATGTATATCTGTGTGTATCTACAGTGAGGGAAAAAAGTATTTGATCCCCTGCTGATTTTGTACGTTTTCCCACTGACAAAGAAATGATCAGTCTATAATTTTAATGGTAGGTTTATTTGAACAGTGAGAGACAGAACAACAACAAAAAAGTCTAGAAAAACGCATGTCAAAAATGTTATAAATTGATTTGCATTTTAATGAGGGAAATAAGTATTTGACCCCTCTGCAAAACATGACACAGTACACACAAGACACACACACAGATCACACAGGACACACACACAGTACATAGAATACACACACAGTACACACAAGACACACACACAGTACACACAAGACACACACAGTACACACACGACACACACACAGTACATAGAATACACAAACAATACACACAAGACACACACACAGTACACACAGGACACACACACAGTACACATACACAGTACACACAAGACACACACACAGTACACACAGGACACACACACAATACACACACAGTACACACAAAACACACACAATATACACAAGACATACACACAGTTCATACAAGACACACACAGTACATACAAGACACAC